CAGGTGAACCCAGATGAGCTGGGGGGACTGAGTGGACTGGTTAAGCTGTTATAAAACAAAAGGTGTCTTTTTTGCCAGGAAAAGAATAAGAGCAGGTTTTATGAATGTTACTGTAAGAAGCAGAGCATTCATGTTTGCCTTCTTAATTCCTTATCTACTACAAAGAAAGAAGTAAAATGTAAAGGAAGCCGGGTGACAGTGTAATGTGTCAGAGGCATGCCTTCAGCGCCACAGATGTGGTGTCCATGCTGACATCCTGTTGGGCAGGTGCATAGCTCTCCTCTTGTTCTTAGTTGTGTGGAGTGAAGGGGTGAAGTGGAAAGTTTGTAATTCTGGAAACAGATGCATCCCTGGAGAAGCAAAAGGGCTGGACTTTTCTCATGTGCTCACAGTCAGCTGGCTTAGTCCCTGGGGCTAGGCATGAGGGACTGGTGGCACAGGGCACTTCAATCAGGTCTAAATGCTAAATGCCTGATGGGATGGCACAGGGATACAGCACCTGGAATGTTCTCTGTCTCTGGACATCTGCTGGCCACCTGCCCTTCCTGTGAGAAGGGTGGGAAGAGGAGTTCCAGTTCCGGTAGAGCCCTGGCTTCAAGAAATGTGGGAAACTCACTCAAGAAGGCCCTTTTCGAGAGAGGATTCCCTGGCTGCCAAGCAGTCAGTGCTTTCTGGGTGGCAACTGTGAGCTGATTTTGGCAAACAGCTGCAAGTAGCTAATAGGAAGAAGCAGAGTGGAGTCATGCAAACTTGTCCTGACAGCTAAGTTGCAACCTTTGCTCCTGGTGTTGGTGCGAAATAGGGCTTGCAGCCTTGCACAGCCCTGCACAGCCCTACAGCACAGCCCTGCAGCTGCTGCCTGCCCCAGCACAGCCGAGGGGCCCCTGGGAGCAACAGGTGTGTGCCTCGGAACACCGTTAGGACTCCCATAGTTTCACCCAGAGGGGTAGCTTCCAAAATTGGATGATGGGTTCCAGCATTCTAATTAAAATATTGTCTTGTTTCTCTGCAAGCAGCGGAGCAACGAGGTGGCCTGAACTATGCACAAAGCTTATTTGCCCAACTCTGGAATCCTCCAAGGCTAACAAGGCATGCGGATTTCCAATGGGGCATTTGGGGGTGATTTGAAATTACGTGAACGGGCTCCCTGAAGGCTGCTGCCAGTCTCACACTTGCTGAGGCTTTTCCACTGGGCTTGGGAGAAAAAAAAAAAACACAGCCTTTTAGGATGTAGGAAAGCAAGAGGAGGAAAAGGAAGAAGCCATATAAGACAGGCTGTTGGACCCAGAGCGATGGCTCAATGGCTAAATCCTTGCCTTGTATGCCCAGGATCCCTTATAAGCACCACTTCATACCCCGTGTCCCCACTTCACATCCAGCTCCCTGCTTGTGACCTGGAAAAGCAGTAAAGGATGGCCCAAAGCCTTGGGACCCTGCACCTGTATGGGAGACCCGGTAGATGCTCTGGGCTCCTGGCTTTGGATCAGCTCTGCTCTAGCCGTTGTGGTCACTTGGGGAGTGAACCAGCAGATGAAAGTTCTCTCTCTTTCTCTGTAAATCTACCTTCCTAATAAAAATAAATAAGTCTTAAAAAAAAAAAAGGCTGTTTTTTTTCCCCTTGTTTTACCAGCGGAAAGAGTTGAGACGTCCTGAGAAACTGTCAACAGGAAGAAGAGCAGGAGCAAAGCAGGCGTGCCAGGCAGCTAGATGTTTGTGGGCCCTACCTAGAGACCGGAGCTCCGGGGAGGCTGCAGCTTTCGGATGGGGCCACGGGAGGTGGGAGGAGACTTCATCTCATTGACCTTGATTTGACTTTGTGTACCAGCAGGCCAGTGGGCACGGGCCAAACACTTGGAGGATAGGACTCTGTCCCTTCTGATACACGTGTAGGGAGAAAGATTCCCTTTTACTGAATCCCCAGCCATGATTACTGTTAAATGTGTTACCGCCTCATGATGATGGGTTTTCCCACGGTCTGAAAAAAATGACTTACTTGCCATTTGTAACCAGGGTGAAAGACACCCCCAAAGTTCAGTTCTACATCAGCATTTCCCCCCAAGGATAAAGCAGCTTTCAGCTTTTATAAAGGGCTAACAAAAGAGTTGAAAAACAAATATGAATTCATAGCTACGGAAGGAGCAAGGTAGACACCTTCAAGACATATTTGCTTCACACAGAGACTCTCAGAGGCAGCAATTCTAAAGGCATTGCTGAAGTTGGCAGGAGGCTGAGCAAACAAAGCTACAGAAATGGTAATTCATCCAACCAAACGTCTATGCTAAAGCCACCAAGAATTCAAGCAATGCATTGGGTAAGCATTTGGCCTAGTGACCATGTATGTTAGAGATCGTGGGTTCAAGTCCTGGCTTTCCTCCTGAGCCCCCTTCCTGCACTGCCACCTCTCAGACCTGGATCGAATCCCCAGGGCTTGGCTTTGGCCTGACTTAGGCCTGGCTGCCATAGACATTTTGAAAACGAATCAGTGGATGGAAGATCCCTGTGTATCTGTCTCTCAAACAACAAAAAATGAATAAGCAATAAATGACAAACATTACAACAAGTTTAAAAATTCAAGCAATGTCAACAATCTGATTAAAGGCCTCATGGTTAAAATTTTTTTTTTTTTTCTATTTAGCTTTTTCCAGATCTGCCTGAAATTCTCTCACTTGAGCCTCTTTTTCAGACCAGTTACTGGTTCTGTGACACTGGGAATAGTTAAGTAGTTCTTGATGCTAGATTTCTATCACAATGATGATCAGATATGCTTTTCTCTCCAAGAGCTCCAAGAAAAAACAATGAGAATTTTAGAAGCCTAGGAAGAATTTAAGAAACAAACACTCCACTAAGGATTTGAGATAGAAGACAGAGGACTGGGATGGTAAGCCAAATATCTAATACGTGAAATAAAAGCCACTGATATATAAAAAAAGCAGAGCTGATAATACAGCCGTTTTGTTTTGCTATGTTTTTTTAACCACTGACTTCTAAAGGCTTCACCACAGCCAATCTGCAGCTCCTGGTAGAGTCAGGGAGTGCAGAAGGGTCTAGAAAGAGCTCAGCACCTGGCATCCGGATTGGATAATTTGAAGTGCTGTACTGCAGACAGCTGAAAGCTACTCTGTGATAATCTTTTCCTTTTTGCCGTGTTGGTGAATTTTCTATCGAAGGTGGTTTTCTTATCATCTTCAACAGAGATGATCAACACGCATAGCCAGGCCACGTGAACTCTCAACATAACTTGATAACAAGATTTTTTTTTTTTTTTGCAGATTAGACAACTTGAGAAGCAGAGTTGAGCAATGTGTCCTGCAGTACCACATGTTGCAACAGAGGTCACTGCCTCTGAGTTCACTGAGGGCAAGGCATGGATTCTGTGATTCTGTCTGGCTGGAGTTGTTCCTTGCTAGGTGCACAGACATTTAAAGTTTATGCTCTTTTATCTCAGGAAAATCCTCCTATCCCTGCCATTGTTCTCCTCCACCCCAACACCATAATATAAACAAGTTTGGTTTCATTTTCTTTGTAGAAAAGTAGAAATATATTCAAGATGAGAAACAGGGAAGAAAACAATGAGAGAAGCTATAGGGCTACCTGTACCAAAGATGGCAAGGAAATGAGAATTGACAATAATTGAGATATGGCTTTTGGTATTTGACGGTCCAAAGCCTTGGGACCCTGCACCCGCGTGGGAGACCCGGAGGAAGTTCCTGGCTCCTGGCTCCTGGCTCCTGGCTTTGTATTGGCGCAGCCACCTGCTGTTGTGGTCACTTGGGGAGTGAATCAGTGCATGAACGATCATCCTCTCTGTATATCTGACTTTGTGATAAAAATAAATCTTAAAACAAAACAAAACAAAAACAGGTGAAACCCTAATGAAGTCCCTGACTGCTTTTCCAGGCCACAATCATGGAGCTGGATGGGAAGCAGGGATGCCGGGATTAGAACTAGAGCCCATATGGGATCCAGGTGTGTTCAAAGTGACAACTTTAGCTGCTAGGCCACAACGGCAGGCCCAGGGTTTCACCTGTTTTTCCACTGGATCCACTTGGGATCCAGTCCAGGATTTCACTTTGCATTAAGTGATGCCTTTGTCTCCTCTGGGACATTCCTTCAGCCTTCCTTTCATAAGCTTTACCCATTTAAAGAGAGGACAGGTCAGTTCTGTAATGTCTCCTGATTACATTGAGGTTATGTGACTAACCAGAACATCATGCCAAGTGTGGGCTTTCTCAGTGTCTCATACTCATACGAGGGGTGAGGGGACACAAGGTCCATTTTTACTACTGGTAACGTAAACGTTGATGGCTTGTTGAACACGGTGCTCTTGGGTTATAATTGCTCATTTCTACAACACGAAGGTGTTACTATGAATACTTATTTGCTTATTTAGAAGTCATAAACAGAACATGCTTCCATGTGATGGTTTGCTTCCCAAATGCTTGCAACAGCTGGGGCTCGGCCAGGTCCAAACCAGGAGCCCAAGATTCCCTCTTGTTCTTGCATGCAAGTGGCAGGACCCAACTACTTGGGCCAGCATCACTGCCCCCTAGAATCAGGAGCAAAACACTCTAGTATGGGATCATTCCAGGTGGCGCAAAGCCCACTCCCAGTCTTTCTTTTAACTGAGCTATTGACACACTGTAAAATGCATCCTTAATTCTCAAGTTTGCAATCCATGCTATGCAGTTTATGTACAAGGTTTTATGGCTGTTACCACTATTCAATTCCAGAACCTTTTCAAGACCCAAAAAAGAAATCCTGTATTTATTGTTACTCTACATTCACGTCTATCCCCAGCCCCTGGAAAGCCACCGAATCTACTTTTTTCACTGTTTGCCTTTGCCTATTGGAACTAAATTTATTTTCATCCCAAATAAGAAATAAGAGGATCTCAACCCAGTTAAACCATGATACACAGAGAGACCTATAAATAGGGAAATGGTGACAGGCAAATAAGGGTTCAGCAAACCCTTAATTATTATTTTTTTAAATTCACAAACCTGTAGGAATAAGGGCTTCATTCACTGGCAAAAAAGCATCAGCTTCTATGGTAACTTCATGGTCATATATATTTGGAGAACCCTGGGAGAGAAGGGCAGGAGAAGAGAACGTTTAGTGCTTTGCCTGAGTTTATACATTTGCTCTGTAACTCCTCTTGCAAAAACATGTTCAGGCATTGACAGTAACTTTACACATCTCCTTTGACCGATGTCAATGGTGACAATGAAACATGAACATTTAGGTTAGGTAGATAAAGTTTCCAAATAGCAACTGACAAATTTGGAAAAGACTGTCAAGTGTGACCCTAAAGTGCCTTATCCTTTCCTATGTGGAAGATGCTGGCCCAAAGTCAAAGAAAGGTTAGGCGACCATTTGGGATCCTACATCCCGGGCAGAGTACCAGTTTGAGCCTCAGCTGCTGTGGTGCGGTGGTGCTGTTGAAATGGTTTCCTGGAGATGCCTCCTGGGAGGCAGCAGCTGATGGTCCAAGTGTCTCAATTTCTGCTGTCCATGTGAGAGGCCTGGATGCAGTTCTGGGCTCCTGGCTTTGCCCTGCCCCAGACCCGGCTGCTGTGGGCTTTTGGAGTGTGAACCGCTAGATAGAAAATCTCTCCTCTCTCCCATTTCACTTCCTTTCAAGTGGATAAAAATGGATACACATTTTAAAAATTCAAGAAAACCACAATGGTTAGAAAGCCTTTTAGATCTTGTCCTGTTAGTGTGAGAGTATCTTCAACTCTCCTTAGATGAGGGCACGTCAAAAAATTTGAGGGAAATGGAATTAAGAGGATGACTTTGTCTTGGTGCAAGACTTGTATTGAAACTCATGCAGTTTTCTCATTTTCCATACATCATAAAAACAATTTTTTTTTGCACCAAAATAAACTCATATTTTTTTTAAAAAAAAGATTTATTTTACTTACATGAAAGTCAGAGTGACAGAGAGAGGAAAGAAGAAAGAGAGATTTTCCATCTGCTGGTTTATTCCCCACATAGTCACAATGGTTAGAGTTGTGTCAAACCAAAGTCAGGATCCTGGAATTCCATGTATGCCTTCCACATGTGTGGCAGGAGCCTGGATACTTGGGCCATCCTCTACTGCTTTCCCAGGTGCGTTAGCAGGGGGCTGAAGAAGAAGCAAAACCTGCTGATACTCAAACTGGCACTCGGATGTGAGATGCTGGCTTTGCAGGTGGCAGCTTCACTCACTGTATCATAACACTGGCCTTAAACTCACATGTTTAATTCCATTTCCCATGGACTTTTTAAAAGTTCCCTTATGTGTCAGATTAACAAGAAAGCAAGGTCCTGGCTAGCAACGGCACCATCTCCAGGCTAATTGTGTGGGTAGCATGAGTCCTGATTCTACCCAGGGACCCGTCTCCACCCAGGGGACCCAATCCTTGCCATATGACAATGAATGATTGAGGATGCTTCCTGCCACTCCAGAGAAATGCTGCTGGCCCTCAGGGCAACTTAAGATGAGGGCAGATAGGCCTAGGTTCTGGCTACAGATCTCACCCAGCAATTCCTGGTCAATCAGTCTCCTAGAATCTCATTTCTCTTGGTGCAAAGTTGGGATATCGATGCGCCCGCTCTTTGCCAGGGTCCTGGTGAGGAACAGTTCAGTGAAGGTTTACTGGGCTGTGCACAGATTGGAAAACACCTGTGTACATGTTCAATTCCAAGAGCTCACTTTTGTTTTAATGGTAGTATATTTAAAGCCTTCTAGAAGAATGTGGGGAAGGAGAATGAGGTGAGTGTTTACGTTTAGCATAACATACCACCCATCAGCTAAGCCAGGTGTTCTCAACAGATGGCAATCTCCCCCACTGCACACAGCTCAACAGTCTACCTTGCTGCAATGAAGAATCTCTTGGACCAAAATGTCTACAGTGCTAGGGCAGGAAACCCTAAGCACAGCTGCCTCCAGCCTCTGTTAACCCTCTGGAAACAAGCAGAGGGTAAGAGCGGCTGCAACAAGAATGTGTTTAACCATGCTCAGGCCACACAGTCCAACAGAGTCTTTCTCAGGATAAAGGCCAGCATTAGGAACCCATGGGACTCCACATCTAAACACTGTAGCAACTGCACGACCTGGAGGTTCTTCTACTGAAGACCTGATTCTCTTATTCTTCCAGAAAGTAGGCGGTCAGGACAGGGACCTCCCCTCTGCCCAGACACCCTGTCTTAGCTGCCTGCTTGGTCCTACTTCTGACCTGGGAAGGCAGGTCCCCATGGGGGGACAGCTATACCCTTCTCTTGGGCAGCTCTAGGCCAAAGGGGCCTCTCTCCTGTGTGGCTCTTCACACTGCCAACTTGTTGCAATTTTTGGCTGGTTTTGGAACTGGAGGCATCTTGGGGCCTCCAGGGAGCGGAAGGGAGGGGGAAGAATATGAGGTTATTTCCCGGGTGCTGTTTGTTCTGGCTCAGCTCCACGTGGAGGTGGCTGGCCAGTGGGAGCTGCAGCTCCTAGCAAGCCCTCCGTCCTTCCTTTGCACAACTGAGACCGGAGGGGTGGCAGCCTGCCAAGTCACTGGACAGCCTAGTGCCTGTCCAGGTCTTCATGCTCCAAGCCTTCTTCCTTCTTTTTTTCCAGTTTTTGAAGATTTATTTATGTTGGAAAGGCAGATTTACAGAGAGAAGGGGAGACAGAGAGAAAAGACCTTCCATCTGCTGATTCATTCCCTATGTGGCTGCAATGGCTGGAGCTGAGTTGATCTGAAGCCAGGAGTCAGGAGTTTCTTCCAGATTGCCCATGCAGGTGTAGGGTCCCATGGCTTTGGGCTGTCCTCTGCTGCTTTCCCAGACCACAAGCAGGGAGATGGAAGAGAAGTGGAGCAGCCAGGATATGAACTGGCACCCACATGGGATCCCAGTGCATGCAAACTGAGGACTTTTAGCTGCTAGGCTATCGTGCTGGGCCTGCCTTCTTCCTTATTCTACATTTTTATATTGATAACTTATGTCTAACCAGAACACACTATTCCGATTTCTGTTGCCAAAGATGAGCTCTACCCTGTCTAGAATCAAAAACTGACTTTTTTTGGTGCCTTCTACTTCACCTACAGTGCCAATATCTTATAGGGGTACCAGTTCAAGTCCCTACTACTCCACTTTCTATCCAGCTCCAGGGGTCACCCACAACACTGTGTCAGTAATTCATTACTTTTTCTAGTTCTAGTTCATCGCATATCACAGTTTGGTTATTTATCGTCCTGTTGACAGACTTTTGGTTTGCTGTTAGTGCTTAAGTATTATGAATAAAGCTATTAAGGAAATTCCTTTTTCTATTTTTTTTTTTCACATCATGAAAATCATACAGTAAATAAATCGATCAATCTGAGGCATCAGCAAGAAGGCTGGCAGGGGAAGGAAAAGCCTGTTTACTGGTCACTGGGTCACCAAGCAGCACCAATAGTTCTGACATGCTCAGAGTGGACATTGGGCCTCTGTCTTGTTTTAGGGTAATTGGCTTTAACAACCGGCCCTAGCTCTCAGCCCTGGCTTCCCACTAAAGCACACCCTGGAGGCAGCAGGTTTTGGCTCAGGTTTTTGAGTCTCTTCCACTCATGTAGGGGTCCTCATGTTTGGGCCCCAGCTCACACCCAGCTGTGGGTATTTGGGGAGTGAACCAGCAACCTCTCTCCCTCTCTCTAAAGTGTCTCTCTGGGTCTCAAACTCATTGAAAATGAAGCAGGTTTTGTGTTAAGAATGTTCTGGACTGGAAAAATGTACTGATCCGTGGTGGAACTTAACTGTTGGATTCATTTCCTTTCAGTGCTGATGAATCATAAACAAGCCTTGCCGCTCTCTGAATCCAGGGTTTTGTTAACTGCTTGTCTGCTGCTGGTCTTTATCATTGATTGTGTATATAGCCCATTATACCTTCCTGGGGTTTTAAAAACATTTTTCCTGCACTGCCACCAGCCCTGCCTTCATTTAGCTCTCATCAACTCTAGCAGCAGGCAGCATTCTTGCTACTGCCGCAAAGGCATGGCAGCTCCTTAACCAGCCCCTCCATTTCTCCGGAGCAGTATTTTTCCTAAACCAGACCATGGATTTCCCATCCCTAGAGGGAAATTTTTTTATTGCTTTAACCCCGATGCTGGCAGATAGGTTAGGCAAGCTCCGGTCAAAGGAATGTGACAGAAATTCTGATGGGGGGAGGAGAGCTCTAAGAACCTTTCAGAAGAGGTCTTTGTGGGGATAGCACTACGGTGAAGCCTGTTAAGCCACCACCTGCTGTGCTGGCTTCGGATCAGCTCAGCTCTGGCTCTTGCTATCATTTGGGGAGTGAATCATTGGGCAGAAGGTCTTCCTCTCTGTCTCTCTTCTTCTCTGTGTATCTGACTTTGCAATAAAAATAAATAAATCTTTAAAAAAAGACTGAGAGATATTACTGGCTGTCTATAAATATTCTTGTGGCAGGAAATCAGGCCAACGTGATAACAGTGGACAATGGTGAGTTCTGCAGATAAAGAGGAAATAATATATACAATCTACAGAATTTGGCCAAGTTCTATCTCATGTAATGGCCTCCTCAACAAGCTTCAATGTTGCTTCTCAAAAGGAATTAGGTAGTTTAGGGAGTGCCACTTGAGAGCAATGTTAATGGTCCTATAGTATTTACAGGTCTTCACAATGGGGTTGGTTCCTGTGCTAGGGAGTTTGTCACGTCTTTACCAATGACTTCATAAAGTGCTTTCCACCATAGCCAACCAACAGTAGGCAGCTATTATTACAAGATGGACGATACACCTATCAACCTCAAACCCCCAGCTCTTCCAAGTAGCTGTCCAGTGTTCTTCCCAAGGTACCACACAGGGCATGACTGGTGCCAGGAGCCAGATGCATTTCCAAAGATGTAAGAGTGGGAGGCACCTTCGCTGAAGCCACTTGGGAGTGTGGGGGACAGGGAGGCAGAAGCAGAGAGTGAGAAGTAAATGTGAGCATATGGGACAAGCGGATGAGAGGGAGTTCTCAAAACTGCTGGTTACTTCCCTGAAGCCTGTGGGAAACGGACAACTGTCTTGGCCCTGTAACACACTCATCCTGCCTTTCTCTTTGGTTTCCATTATTTAGCAGCCACTCTACGTCAGGAGCTTTCTTCTGAGCCCTTTATATTATCATGGTGATGACCACCACCAGAGTAGTCCCATACTGGGTTGTTCCCACCAGCGACACCCTTGAAGCCATTCCACAGAACACTCAGGGGACAGCCAGAGAGAGGAAGTTAAGTACACTTACCTGGCCAGCCAGGTTGAAATAAGAATGGTTGGTGAGACTGACCGGTGTGGTCCGACTGGTCTGGGCTCTATAGTTGACCATGAGCTCTCCTCCATCCAAAGTGTACGTCACCCAGACTTTTAACTCTCCAGGGTAGCCCTCCTCACCGTCTGGACTGACGCGGGAGAACTGCACACCATTGGCCAGCACCTGAGGGGTCCAGAGCACCTAGAATACAAGCATTTTCAAAGCTGCTCAGTCAACCCAAGCTAAATGCCACATTTCAACATTGAAAGACAACTGATTCTAGAAAGGAAAATGGTTATACATTCATGAAGCTTCTGAATTACAGCCCAAATTTTAGTCTATTGTAAAATTTTGTCTAATACAGAGAAGGGGCTTTAGAGAGGTTTTTTCCCCCCTCTTTTTTCTCTTAGATTCCCTTGACACTTTCTCTTGACCTTACTGGTGTCTATCTATAGCATTTTTCTCTTCTTTGTTTTCCTTTGATTTTTAAGCTCTTGGATAAATGTCATACAAAAATACTTGCTAATACTAATTTTAAAAAACACCTTCAATAAATCATTCTCTCTCTCCTCAGGGTACTCTATACAAATATTTATTAGAAACAAACAAACACACTAGAGTGGGTGTTTAGCACAATGGTTAAGTGGCTATTTAGATACCTGCATCCCACAAGGAAATACTTGGTTTTCATTTTGATTACTCCAGTTCCAATCCAACTTCTTACTAAAGTGTACCCTGGAAGGCAGGAGATGATGGTTCAAGCATTTTGTTCCCTGCCACCTATCTGGGAGAGCTGGACTGAGTGCAGGGTCCCAAAGTTTTGGGCCATCCTCAACTGTTTTCCCAGATCACAATCAGGGAGCTGGAAGGGAAGTGGAGCAGCTGGAATACAAACCAGGGCCCATATGGGATCCTGGTACGTGCAAGGCAAGGACTTTAGCCACTAGGCTACTGTGCTGAGGCCCAATCCTGGGTCTCTTATGCTCTCCAGTTCTCAGAAGAAGGTCAGTAGGACCACAGGATATCATCATATCTCCCCCAAAATTCACATGTGAAAACTCAACTCCCAAATTCATGTATTAATGAATTTGGACAAAGGCCCCTGGGAGGGTAGTTAGGATTAGATGAGGTCATTAGGGTTGGTGCTCCCAGAGGGCATGAGTGGCTTTATAGGGAGAGGAATAGAGACCTAGCACACTTCTCTGTCTTGCCCTGTAATACCTACTGCCATGTCACAATGCATCAAGAAGGTGCTCACCAGAAATCAGCACCGTGCTCTCGGACCACGAACCAAAGAAACCTCCTTTTCTGATGCTACCTAGCCCACAAGTCAGGTGGGGCATCAGCAAGTGGAGCCAGTCTTGCATTAGCTGATAGCTTTTTGCTCTGCTCGTAGAGGGAGCACATGCTGAGCAGCACCCCAGCCCACAGCACTGTGGGACCAAGGGAGCAAGGCCAATTGCCACAGGCCCTGCTGACGAACTCTCCCAACAGAGCAGTGCCCTCTGGTTGGGGTTTGCCCCAGGTCCTGTCATGTCCTAAAGCCTCGCCCTGGGGTAGGCAGAGCCAACTGCCTTCCCCGTTATGCACCGACTGGCAGGAGGAGTTCCATCACTAAGGAAAGGGAAGCCTGGTGAGCATTCTGGTTTCAGGCCACAGACAGGAAGCTGGCAGGGGAGGCAACACAGAAAAACCAACTTCCTCCAACAAGACTGCAGTGGTTGGAAGCTGTGAGCTGCCAAACCTGCTCCTGTCTGCTCTAACTCTCCAGCCAATAACCCAGATGGTGTCATTGAAAGGAAGTTTAATCCTGACATTTTCTCCCTTGCAACCTGGAATGAGATGAGTGAAAAGAGTCAATGGGGGTTAACCTGCAGATCCCATGAGACTCGAGGAAGGAAGGAAGCATTGGCTGGCCAGTCTTGCATAAGGGAGAACCATCTCATCAACTGGTTTTCTTGACCTTGTTTCCTAGCTGTTCACTTGGGCCATGGAAATGTTGATGTGGAAAGCAGGGACTGGAGAGATCCTGAGTTGGGGCCTTGTAATGAATGAATGAATGAATTTGAAAGGCATGGTGCCAGAGAGAAAATCTTCTAGCTCCCAATTCATTCTCTAAATGGCTGCAACAACCAGATCCGACCTAGGCCTAAGCTAGCAGCCAGGCACCCTACCCTGGTCCTGCACTGGTGGGAGGGGCCCAAGTATTTGGCCTATGATTGGCCATCTCCCAGGTGCATTAGCAGGCAGCTGGATCAGAATGGGAACAGCTGAGACCAGAACTGGTGCTCCAACATGGGATGCTATTGGCACAAACAACGGTTTAACTTATTGTGCCACAAGCTGAAGTCATTTTGAGGTATGGGGCATTCCAGTGGAGGAGCATGCCTGGATATGCTGTCACACTGCACGCGGAGAGGGCTGTATGACAGGAATAGGAATGGGAGTTGGACCTCGGAGTACCTGTGGAAGCCTTGAGGAGACTAGCAGCCGTCATGTGAGGTGCAGGTTTGGGGCCAGAGCTGGTGTTAACACAGCGAGTCATGTGGCTTTCTGGACCTTCATTTGGTGCCAGTAACAGTGAGAGATGATACACACTCATTCTTTGCACAGTAGATGGTAGGCATTATTATGAACTTTGGTTTCTTCCAGATCCCAGCACTGTGAGAAAGCCTGGGTTAAGGGCTGTCATCCTTAACTCAGGGGTCTGTGCCGTAATCCGGGAATATGGCCATGGCGGTGGCTGCTGCCCTGAACCATGGAGTGGTCTCTTTCCCTTGCACCTGCCCATGTGTGTGTTCCAGATTTTGGGACTGTATGTGACCAGCAGGGTCTGTGTTAGGGTGCTTTGTTAAGTGTGCTGGAAGGGAGGGAGGTCTGGGCAAGGCCCACACTCACCTTATCAAAGCCCCGGAGTCCTCCGTGCAGACTGTTGGGCCCCTTGTTGATGGGCAGATGAAATTCCTTCCCATCCAGCATGAATGTCCCATTGGCAATTCGGTTGGCCACCCTCCCGACCACTGCTCCAAAGTATGGTTGCTTCTGTAGGTATCCTGTAAGACAGGGGATGACAATATTTTTTCAAAACATCAAAGCAGGGCCTGGTGTGTTAGCATAGTGGTTAAAGTCCTTGCCTTTCACGTGTCTGGATCCCATATGGTCGCCAGTTCTAATCCTGGCAGCCATATTTCCCATCCAGCTCCCTGCTTGTGGCCTGGGAAAGCAGTTGAGGATGGGCCAAAGTCTTGGGACCCTGCACCTGCATGGGAGACCCGGATAGAGCTCCTGGCTTCTGGGGCTAGTTCTATAGCTTAGCATGTAAAGCCTCTGCCTGCAATACCAGCATTTCACAGGAGCACTGGTTCAAGTCCCAGCTACTCTACTTCTGATCCGGCTCTCTGTTAATGTGCATGGGAACGCAGTGGGAGGTGGCCTAAGTCCCTAGGCCACTGCCACCTGTGTGGGAGACCTAGAAGAAGCCTCTGGGTCAGGTGCTAAGCCTGGCCAAGCCCTGGACATTGCAGCCATTTGGGGAGTAAACCAGCTTTCTGTCAAATAAATTTTTACAGACAAGAATGAATAACTTTTTTATAATAAGAGTATATTTTAGGGCCCTGCGCAATAGCGTAGTGGTTAAAGTCCTCACCTTGCATGCACCGGGATTCCATATGGTCGCTGGTTCTAATCCCGGTGGCTCTGCTTCCCATCCAGCTCCTTGCTTGTGGCCTGGGAAAGCAGTTGAGGATGGGCCAAAGTCTTGGGACCCTGCACCTGCGTGGGAGACCCGGATAGAGCTCCTGGCTCCTGGCTTTGGATTGGCTCAGCTCCAGCCGTTGTGGTCACTTGGGGAGTGAACCATAGGATGGACGAGCTTCCTCTCTGTCTCTCCTCCTCTCTGTATATCTGCCTTTCCAATAAAAATAAATACATCTTAAAAAAAGAGAATGTATTTTATACATGGGGCATATTTTTTTAAAATATGTATTTATTTATTGGAAAGTCAGATATACAGAAAGGAGGAGAGACAGAGAGGAAGATCTTCCATTTGATGATTCACTCCCCAAGTGACCGCAATGGCTGATGCTATGCCAATCCGAAGCCAGGAACTTCTTCCGGGTCTCCCATGCAGGTGCAGGGTCCCAAAGCCTTGGGCCGTCTTCGACTGCTTTCCCAGGCCACAAGCAGGAAGCTGGATGGGAAGTGGAGCTGCAGGGATTAGAACCGGTGCCCATATGGGATCCTGGCGTAGTCAAGGCGAGGACTTTAGCTGCTAGGCCATGCCACCAGGCCCTACATGGGGCATATTTATAGTTAAGAAATATAAGTTGTTTATCTGGAATGCAAATTTATGTGGTCATCGAGTTTTTTTGACAAATCTGGTAAGCTTAATAAAGAATAAAATATGAAAAAAAAGAAAAAAAAGAATAAAATATGAAATCCCTTCTTACTCTGAATTTCTTCCCAATAGTAGCCACTATTAATAGTGTGACATGTGTATTTTTTCCTTTTAATTAACTACATAGAAGCACATATAAAATATTCATACATATCTACAATCATTGTTTTGCAAGTTAGGTGTCTTAAGATCTCTCCACATCACTCTGTTTTTACCTATTATATTTCATTTGCTGTGTGGTAGACTGAGGAGTATAATGTAGTGTTAGCAGGCCCGGCAGAATACCCTAGTTCCTAAATCCTCAACTTGCCTGTGCCAGGATCCCACATGGGTGCCGGTTTGTGTCTTGGCTGCTCCACTTCTCATCCAACTCCCTACTTGTCGCAGTCGAGGATGGCCTAAAGCCTTGGGACCCTGCATCTGCGTGGGAGATCTGGAAGAGGTTCCTGGCTCCTGGCTTCAGATAGGCTCAGCTTTGGCCATTGCATCTACTTGGGGAGTGAACCAGAAGTTGAAAGATCTTTCTCTCTGACTCTACTTCTTTGTGTAAAATCTACCTTTCGATAAAAATAAATAAATCTTAAAAAAAGAAAAAAATGTGCTAGCTATTTTTTGGGAAGTGCTTTAAAATGCACCTCAGCCCCTTGGCAGCATTGTTCATGGGCATAAGCATTGCATGCCTTCTCTTTAAGTTCCTCTGTGCTTACTTTACAGAAAAGTGCAAGTTTTAGAGATTGTTTTTTGTGTTATCACCAAGAGTACTTCCTACTCTTTTTCACTCACCCACAGCAAGAATCATGGGGTGTTGTCGGATCGGCAGAGGAGGCAATTCAAGCACAGAACTGTATTGCCATGGCTAGAGGGGCCCTCAAGATACACACCCCGAGCTGAGGAGGCCACTTGCAGGTCATAGGGTTCCATCACCCAGCTGGTCTGGTACAAGTTAAACATTAACCATTCACAGCCCAGGTGCTTGCTCTGGAATCTTTCCTTGCTCAGCTACCTGTAGGTGCCTCAGTTGGTTGCCCAGGGAGTGTCACAACAGCTAACACTCATTAACCGATTTCTATATCCAATCACTTCAGAAATGCTCCAAATTTGTTTATGTTTATTCAAGTGTCAGAGAGTCAGAGGACAAGAGTGAGAGAAGTTCCATCTGGATAACACCTCACATGCCTGTAATGGCTGGGGCTGGAGCCAGTAAGACACAATCCAGGTCTTTTCAGTGGGTGGCAGGAACCCAACTACTTAAGCTACCATGGTTGCCTCTTAGGGTTTGTGTTGGCAGGAAGCTGGAGTGCAGAGCTGGACTGGGAGGGAAGTGCAGGCACCACAGTGTAGGAGGCGGGCATCTTACCCACTAAGATAAATGCTCATTCCACGAAGTGCTGGACATGGAATTCATCCCAGCCTCAGAGCATCCTCCCTCCACTTTACAGATGTGCAAGCTGAGATCAGAAAAAGCTAAGTCACCTGCGCCAAGACATTAATTAGTGGCAGCAACATGATTTGAATTCAACCAGGCTTGAGTCAAAAGCTCTTTTTTTGAAAGGCAGAAATGAACTCACTAACTCATGTGAGTTGGGATCCCACACCAGACCTGTCTCTTTACAGTCTTCTTGGCCTCTCCAAGCTACCTTCCTTCCTTACGGGAACGGTCCAAGAGGCGTATCAGAGTCTTCACTTCTTACATCAAGAGGTGAAAGAGGGGCCAGTGTTGGGATGCAGCATGTTAAGTTACCACCTACCATGCTGGCATGGCACCCTACCATACGGGTGTTGTTTCCAGTTCCAGCTCATTTTGAATCCAGTTCCCTGCTAAGCGGTTGGGTCCCTGGTCCTCGCTTGAGAGACCCAGATGGAATTCTAGGCTTCTGACTTGAGCCTAGCCCAGCCTCAGCCATTTCGGCCATTCGGGGAGTAAGCCAGCAGATGGAAGATCTTTCTCTTGCTCTGTGGCTCCACATTTCAAACAAACAAACAAACAAACAAACAAACAAATAAATAAATATTTTTTAAGTCAAAAAAGGGTAATATTTCCAGGTTCTGTGGCTGCCCTTGAGGAGAAGGGGTTCTAGTGCCTGTGCACTGCCTTGGGAAGGAGGGATTTTAATCTCCCTGGCCGGTTTAGTAAGGAAGAGAGTGAGGAGAGGAGACAGGAGGGCGGGAGCCGTCACAGAAAACTGTGCTACGCAGCTGACACCTTGTCAGTATTGCTTTCTGATTTCCAACAAAGCTCAAAAAAAAAAAAATGTAAAGCTCATTTTTTGTCTAAAAGCCTTTTGGCTTCAGCTCTTTTGGGACTTACCTTGGCTTGTTCAACAAATGCATATGAGTCCCTACTCTGCCAGAGGTGTAGCAGGTATGGAGACAATTAGAAACCCAACAGTGTGATGTCTGTCCTGTGGGTATGCAAGAATTCTCTCAGGAGAGAACAATTTCTGGCCGCAGCTAATCAGCCACTGAGACATGAAGCACTTATGAATTCCTCCATCTACATAAATGCTTTTTGAAGAAAAAAAATAAAACCCAAGGATGATCCAAGTACCTGCGTCATCCTGTGCTGCCTCCCAGGGTAGAACATTGACAGGCATAAAATCAAACCCATACACTTCAATATGGGACCTGAGCAGCTGACCAATGTTTTGTTTGTATCATTTACTTACTTGAGGGTCTGGTGCTGTGGTCCCCGCCTTGAATGTGCCAGGATCCCATATGGGCACCGGTTTTAATCCTGGCATCCCTGTTTCCTATCCAGCTCCCTGTTTGTAGCCTGGGAAGGCAGTCGAGGATGGCCTGAGGCCTTGGGACCCTGCACCCGCGTGGGAGACCCGGAAGAGCTCCTGACTCCTGGGTTTGGATTGCTTTAGCTACAGCCGTTGCGGTCACTTGGGGAGTGAATCATCGGACAGAGGATCTTCCTCTCTGTCTCTCCTCCTCTCTGTATATCTGACTTGCAATAAAAATAAATAAATGCTTAAAAAAATAGATTTACTTACTTGAAAGGTAGAACCTCAGTCTGAGAGAACTACTCATATGTGTAGTTCTGTTTCATATTTATATATGGAGAGAGATGGGGGTGGGAGAGAGAGAGAGATTGATCGATTCTTTCTGCAGGTTCACAGCCCAAATAGTAGTAACAGCCAGTGTTAAGCCAGGCCAAACCAGGTGCCAAGAACTCTACCCAGGTCTCCCACGTAGGTGCTAGGGACCCAAGAACTTGGGCCATCTTCTGCTGCTTTCCCAGGTGCATTAGCAGGGAGCTGGATTGGCAGCGAAGCAGCCAGGACTTGAACCATCACTTTGTTATGACATGCTGCCATTGCAAATGGTGGCTAAACCCACTGCACTACAATGTTAGCCCCCTTGACCAATAATTTAACTGCTGAGCCTAATACCTACCTCTAAAGCATTGTTTTGAAATGCAGAAAGTACTGTTTCCCAAAAAGAACTCAAAATTCCTTGGTCAAGTCATAAATGCTGATTTCATCAGGTCAGTTGCTGAGTGGGGGAAAAGAATGGAGTAGCACTCTTTCCTATGCAAGGCCCTGGCCAGAATAAAATAATAAATGCTAACCACGGGATGGGGTCCTTACAGTCTTCCAATATCAAAAAATCCAAACAATGCCCCCTCCTCAGACAGCCCAACCCTAGCCAAAGTGCCCTGAAATCTGAAAACACAATGGCCATTTTCAGTCAAAATCTCCCCCCTACCATGACTATTCTTTGGTTCATGAGAAAATCAAACTTTAATGATCACTTTGATAATTCCACATATTATATATACGCATGTATGTATATACATGATACATATTAAAGATGTATTTGTGTTTATTTGAAAGGCAAATTTACAGAGAGAAAGAGAGGCAGAAAGATCTTCCAGCACTGATTTTCTCCCCAGAGGGCCACAACCACCGGAGCTGAGCCAATCTGAAGCCAGGAGCCTAGAGTTTCATCCAGGTCTCCCATGTGGATACGGGGATAGAGTTAGATCAGAAGTGGATCAGCCGGGACTTGAACTGGTGCCACTGCTGGCTCTCCTGGATGAATGTCACACTACTTTTTTTCAGGGTTAACAAAGCCAAATATTCTAAAAGTATGAAGATGCTATTTGGGGGCAAAGGAAAGAGAAGGGATGACAATGATGACTCACTCTTTTGGGTCAGAAGCATATTACAGATTTGATAGAATAAGACATACACCGTGGCCCATAGCACATTTAATCACCACAGTGCAGTTGCTTCTGGTGAGGGAACAGGACTAGAGAGATCAAACCCCCTGTCCGTGGCCACACAGCTCTAAGAAAGCAGCAGGGGCGAAGACAAGGACTCCTCAGTGGACCCACCACAGCTAGCTGGCCACTTGCAACACTGAACTGTGGCCTGTAACAGACTGCTTCTTCCCACACCAGCATCTGAACCCAGGTTTTTAAAAAGTATCAAGTTTATTTTTTCTATTCCCCCCACCCCTCCATAATGGCTCTAATAGCTGTAATTTCCATAATGGCAGTAATAGCTGGTGTTTGGTGATAAGTGGGGAGGAAATGAAAGGGAAGGCGTCTCTCTGATTGTATGGGTAGATTGTTTATACCCAGGATTGTAAGTGAATATTCTCATCACAGACTTTGAAAGAAGTCATAATGATGGCGGGTGGGACATGCAGATGGAAAACTTTTTTTTTTTTAAACAGTAGAACAACTCAAAGGAGGCATTAGTGATTTTCCTAGGCTTGTCACTAAAAGATCGTATAATTTGTCTCTTTAGTATTCTACAGAAGAAACATCTCATTTTCCCAGGGAGAAATTGAACCGTTCTGACCTTCAGTTACGGCTGGCATCCAGGACGTTTATATAATCTAGATTGTTCACATCCACTGTGGCGGTTACAAAAGGCCCATGTCTCATGGAATTATCCGTGCTTAGCTCTCCTCCTGGCTCAGAACATTTCTGGCACATGGCAATGTTAGGAAAAGTCCTACTCTGTCAAGTTCTATTAATTATGTATGCACATTGGTTTGTTTGGAGGGATATACAGTGAGGACTAGCTCTCTACCCCTGCAGCCTATCTCCCAGCGTCCTATGCAAAGGACTTCCTCTGTTACCACTTTCTTAACGCCCGTTTTAACACACTGGGATTGATGAGGACAGCAGGAGAGTGTCCTTACATACTTTCCTGATGGAGATTATCATGCTTCCTGCTAAGATATCTAGGCAGTCTTAGTTATCTCTAGAAATCCAAAAAGAATCCACAGAGAACCTGAAAGGGCATAAAAAGGGAACGAAGGTTCACTTGTCATAACCTTGAAGATGGCCAAACATATTAGAAAGTGTTATTTAATATGCTGGGGGCTTCCCCCGATGACTTCTCTTTTGAAAAGAGCTTTCTTTCCTTTGAAAAGAATCAAATTATTGAAATTTATAGCACAGGAAAGAGGATGGCCAACTCCATCTAGTACATAGAAGGAGATTTTAAATACTTGTGATGCCTTCCAGTGAGGAAATGCTACTGGGCATTCCCAAAAGGTACCGATACTGGGAGGACAGTAAGATGCTGAGCTTCATCGCAGCCTCAGGGGAGTTAATGCTTTCTTCCATTCTAAGAACATGCGGTCTACCAGCAGGTGAATCTGCCTCCTGGGATGCTGACGTTTCGAAGGAGCCTGGCTACTCCGTTTCCGACCCAGCTCCCTTGCTAGTGTGCCAGGGAAGGCAGTGAAGTTGGCCCAAGTCCCTTGGGCCCCTGGCCCCCCCGTGGGAGACACAGAGATTGTGTGAACAGCCTGGTCTGTTCCAGACCAATGGAGAAGCTTCTGCCTCCCACGGGCCATGTCATCATGAACTCCAAACCCGTCTGGTGCCTTCAGTTCTGCGTGACTCTTCCATCTGAACTAAAAACAGCAGGAAGTGGAGGAGGCGTGCGTGTGTCATTGCAGGACTGACAGTGCCGCTCTCCGAGCTATGGCAGAAGGGCGGCGACAGGCGCCAACGCCCACGGTTGACCTGTCTAGTCCCTTAACCGTCTCTGGAATCCTACGCTGTCTATCCGATTCCCCCTCTACTGCACCAAGCAATGTGGCGTGAGTCACCTCTCCGTGACTGCTTCCACTACAAAATGATCACGCTACCAGCAGAGACAGGTGATTCAGCCACGGGATTCTAGAGAATCCTCTTTTCTCACTTGCCAGCCCTGGTGCCTCCTGATTCTGAAGTCCTTTCCCTAGATGGGCAGCTAGTTTGCCCCCGTTTCCGCTGAGTCAGGGGACATATCTGGGAATTCTGCACAGGAAGTTTACCCCTCTCCCCAGCCATACCATGGAGCACCGGGCAGAAAAAGACAAGGGACAGGATCCTCAGAAACACAGGAAGGGGGCTGGTGTGGTGGCAGTGCATGCTAAGCCTCTGACTGTGGCACTTGCATCCTATGGGCACCAGTTTTTGTCCCCGCTGCTCCACTTCCAATCCAGCTCCCTGTTAATGCGCCTGGGAAAGCAGCAGAAGATGGGCCTAAGTGTCTGAGCCCCTGACGCCCACCCAGAAGACACAGAAGAAGTTCTTGGCTCCTGGCTCCAGATCAACTCGGCTCCTGCAGTTGCAACTCCATTTGGGGGAGTGAATCAGAGGATAGAAGATCTTTCTCTGTCCCTACTTCTCTTTTTATAAAATCTTCCTTTTAGGGCCCAGCAAGAAAGCCTAGTGGCTAAATCCTCACTTTGCAACTGCCGGGATCCCATATAGGCACCAGTTCATGTCCTGGCTGGTCTGCTTCCCATCCAGCTCCCTGCTTGTGGCCTGGGAAAGCAGTAGAGGATGGCTCAAGGCTTTGGGAGATCTGCAAGAAGCTCCTGGCTTTGGATTGCCTTGGCTCCGACTGCTGCCGCCACTTGGGGAGTGAACCAGTGGACAGGATCGTTTTGTCTCTGTTAAAATTTGCCTTTCCAACAAAAATAAATAAATAAGTAAATAATAAATCTTTAAAAAAAATCTTCCTTTCAAATGAATAAATAAATCTTTAAGAATTCTGTTAAGGAAACGGGGAGCAAATTTCAGACTTCTAAGGAGAAAAACAAAGGCCTCGTCATTTTCTGTTGACCCTCAAAACATGAACCAACAGGCGGAAAGACACAGGAAAGGAAAACCTCAACCCTCCGCCGAGGCACAGAGGTGCCCACACCCTGCCACTGCGCAGAGGGTTGCAGAAGTCTGTCTGGGGTCAGTTTCATTTCAGACCTCAAGATCCTGTCTACACCCTCGGACCCAGAGAGCACCGGGTACCATCGGCTTTGCCGTCAGAGGAGCCCGGTTGAACCGCGGGCTCCTCAAACCGCTAGAGACCTTGTGTGTTATCCAATGGGTTCGCCGAATTAAGAATTTTTAAATGCGTGGATGGATTCACGCACACATTTGCCCCCGGATTCCGACGCGAGACCTCCCCGAGTTGGTCTGCCCGGCTGGATTTGCAAGTCACAGGCGCAGAGTGCTAAGCCATAGAGACCAAGGCAGCCAACCTGTCAACTCACGCTCAAAGCCTAAAGACTTAGTCGGGCCTCAGAGAGGAGCTGACGGAGGAAGTGGGAGAGTGTACGGAGTCAGCGCGCGCCCGCCGGGGCACCTGCAGCCACACCCGCTCTGGGCCGCAGGTGCCTGCCCTGGCAGGTCAAAGATCACCCCAGGGTGGCCGAGTCTGACCCTCCACGGACTTTGCTTCCACGGAGGCAAGGTCCAAATGGGGGACTAGAGGCAGGGCCCGTGGCCATTTCTAGTCAGCTCGTGATTTTCCACCGAGCCGCTACTTCATCCCGAGCAAGCGTTAGATCTCCCCAAGCACTAGGACTTCCTCTCTCTCTCTCTCTCTCTCTTTCTCTCTCTCTCTCTCTCTCTCTCTCTCTCTCGTTCGTTCTCTTCCCCTGCGCGCGGCGCCTGCCGGGGGATGGAGGGCGTGTACCGGGCAGGCCTGCTGCCGGTCCCCAGCCGTTCAACCCACCTTCCAGCTCGGCAAAGCCAAGCACCACGTCTGAGGCTCTCCCCTGCCTGTCTTTCACTTCCAGGGCCGTGATGGTGCAGCCCCAAGAGATGATATCCACCCTCAGCAGGTCTGACTGCAGCTGGAATTTCTCCACCGTGCCCGCGCCCGAGGGCAGCTCCCCAAACACGGATCTGGTCACCGAAACCATCCGGAAAGTTTGGGCGTGCGGCTCTCTTGCTCCTGTTTTTCCAACTTCCAGCCTCCCGGCTGGGAACGACTCCAGGATCTTGCAGTGGAAAGGGGCGTGACCTGGCTCACACTCCTCCCCTTCCTCACAGGGATTTAGGGAGGGACGGGGAAAAAATACCCTCTGGGGCCTTTCTCAAAGTCCGCCAGAGCTTAACTGGAAGACAAACTTTTCAGCCCGCCTCGAGGTTCTTTTCCATTGCACACTGGGAATAGTAGTCTTTGGGAGGTGCAATTGCATTTTGGGACTTGTAGTCTTTCTCATCTGAATCTTATTTCACTCCCAAAGTCTCCCGCAGACTTGCAAACAGCCGGGAGCTGGTCTTGCCAGAGAAAGCAGAGAGGACGATTAGGGACCGGGCAGGAGAAGGAATATTGTGGGTTTCATACACCCGTGGTGTTGGTACTACAGTAATTTAGAAGGGGTAGATCATTGCAGGTTCTTCGAGAGCCCTCCCTGTGTCCCAGGGGCGAGGAGAGGGGGCCTTGTTGGAGTCTCTGCCCAAACAGGAGGAGCACCCCAAGTAGATAGAGCAGGCATTTTCATGCAGAAGTGTTCAGAAACAGCATGCAGGTTTTTGCAGAGGAGCAAGAAGAGACCTTGGGCTTCTGCGCTCCCTTGTTTTTGAAGTCCAGACCGGGCATTTGGCGCAGAGGTCAAGTCGATATCCGGTATCAGAGAACCTGGGCTCTGGTCCCAGATCCACTCTCCATTCCAGCTACCCACCCATGCGTGTCCCCAGAGGCTGCGGGCGACAGCCCCGTCGCTGGGTCCCGGCTGCCAGTCCAGTACCCTGCTGGAATTCCTGGCTCCTGGTTTCAGTTTGATTAAGTCCTGACATTTGGGGAGTGATCCAGCAGGTGGAAATCTCCATCTCTTGGTCTTAAAAAGTTAATTGATCAATAATTTATATATAAAAAAGTAGGGGTGAAGGGAACAAGGATTTGTGCAGGTCCCTTTAGATCATAGGTACTGTGCTTTTGCTATCTCCTTTTTTGAAAACAGGAAGAAGTTTTACAGCTGTCCAGTTGGGTGAGCAAAAATCCCTGGGTCACTTCAATCAATAGTTGTCTAAAATGCACATCCTCAGACCCACCCCTGCAAGGTGAGGCTCAGGCATTTCTTGCATTCTCAAGATTATTCTAGATCTTGGGCCCGGTGTGATAGCATAGTGGTTAAAATCCTCGCCTTGCACGTGCCAGGATCTCATATGGTCACCGGTTCTAATCCCGGCGGCCCTGCTTCCCATCTAGCTCCCTGCTTGTGGCCTGGGAAAGCAGTCGAGGATGGCCCAAGGCCTTGGGACCCTGCACCCACGTGGGAGACCTGGAAGAGCTCCTGGCTCCTGGCTTTGAATTGGCTCAGCTCCAGCCATTGTGGTCACTTAGGGAGTAAATCATCGGATGGAAGATCTTGCTCTGCTGTCTCTCCTCCTCTCTGTGTATCTGGCTTTCCAATAAAAATATAAATAAATCTTTTTAAAAAAGATTATTCTAGATTCAAAGAGATATGCATATGGCTATAAAGCTTGCTGAGTTGACTCAGCTATCTGAAGGCAGAGGGCTGAGATAAAGCTATGAAAGGTTTCTAGAATTGAGAGGTAACATGTAGGCCTCTGTGGACTTATTTACTGACCTGACAGTTCTAGAAATGTGCTGGGCCCAGAAAGGAGGAGGCAGCTGACACGATTCACTTAGCTCATCTGCAGAAGCCGCGTGTCTGTGCCTGATGCTGCTCTCGGCTTGGCTCCTGGGCGCTTCAGAGGGTATCCAACAGAATGCGGTGAGCACGGAAACGCATCTCTGATGGGGAAATTAGGAGGATCGGGGTCATGTTCCTGGAAGCAGATGCTAATACAATATAATAACCACCTCTCAGCCTTTTCTATCTGTGTAATTGAAGGAATATTTAGCATTCTTGCCACAGAGCCTCGGGTCTCCCTCACCAAGCAGAGGAAATTCTGACAGCAAGGAAATAGCTTGCCCATGGGCTTCAGTGAGGCGCCACATAGAGTAACGCCAAGACTCAAGCAAGTCAAATTATAGAGCGCGCCACACTTGGGCGGTAACTGACAGGCCCTCTCGCACGCTGCTTCCCCAAAGATTCTCAAACTCTCCAGATCTCATTGGCCCACTGCATGCTTGGGGCTGACTCACCAGCAAGCCTTCCTGGCAAAGCTGCATCAGCAAGAACGTCTTAGAACCTCTTCTGTGAGCAAGAAAACCGCATCCCCACCACCCAACCCCGGTCTACAGGTCTCGGTATATGCCACACTCAAGCTGTCACAGGAAGGACTGAATGCATCTGACGGGCCGACACCTCGTGTCACCAGGGCGGGACTTGTTTCTCAGCTTGGCAGAGAATCAAACATCCCATGTCTTCCTGAGATGTAAGCAGTATACTTCTTGATTTTGTGTTTCGTCGTCTCTGAAGCCTGGAACAGATTGCCCCAAACACGAATACCTTGTGCATAAGTCAGCTGTCAGGCACAAGCCTCTATTTCCCCCCTACTTAATTATCTCATTTTCTTAATCCCACAGTGAGACTTTTTTTTTTTATAAAAAAGTGTGTACTTGGGGAAACATTCTGTCCATGTGCAGAGAGATCTGAAACAGGGGAGTAAGCTAGACAACGAAGCATTGTCAACTTCCAGGAGGTAGTTATTTTTGCATTTGGAGCAAGCCTGCAGGTGGGACTGGGCATGGAGGGTGCACACGGAGTGTGCAGGAAGGAGTATTTCACATGGGTCTATTTTCTTGTAACCAGCGGAGGGATAAATCAGGGAGGCCAGGTCAATAATATAGTCTGCCTCTTCTCACCTGGCGGGTGATCCCCAAAACTGGGTGGGAGAACATTTAGGATCTTGGACTCTGCCCCGCAGGTTCTCATTTCTATACAGAGATGTCAAGGCCTGCTGTACTTGGGCCCTCTCAGCTCCAGGGTCTGTAGAGACTCTGAGAAACTCAGCTGCGGGGAGGCTGCTCTGCAGAGGAAGCCCCCCGCCCCCCGGGATGGCAGCACTGAGTCCATTCGTCTGTGGAGCAGCCTGGAACATCTTCTCTTTTGCGAGTCGAAGTCGGCGCTGCAGGTCTGTTTCTCAGTGCTGTTTCCTGTGCTTTTTCCTGCATGCACACTCAGCATTTATTTTCTGAGTTCATCCCAGGAGTGCATTTTTGTTTTTGTGTGCTCAACTCTTGCCTCCTGGAGTCAATCATTTAACTTACATGTTTGTGGCAACCCAAGGTTATCATCTTTGATTTCAGATGAAATAGCTTACGATCACAGGATGTAGGAGTTATTGTTCAATGAGATTCAATTTATTTATTAGCACAGGATGATTGCACATGTTTATGGGATACAGTGATAATTAGATATGTTTATGTAAGGAATGATTAAGCCAGGGTAATTGACATTTTCATCTTCTAAAACATTTATCATTTCCTCATTCAATTCAGTGTGATCAGCGCTTTTGCAGCTGCTGCTGTGCCAAGTATCCTGGGGAGTTGTGAGAGGGTATTTAGATGGATGGAACTTTACTCTGTGGCATCTTATCCAATGTGCATGTTCAGGGCTCTATGCCATGTCACAGTTATGCATTGATAAGAACAGCATGGTCTTGCCCTTCACGGCACCTTCGTTTCTGTCTGTCCTCCATGAAAATGACAATAAATGGGGCCGGTGCTGTGGTGCAGCAAGCTAAGCCCCTGCCTATGACGCCAGAATTTCATGTGAGCACCAGTTTAGTTCCTGGCTGCTCCACTTCTGATCCAGCTCTCTGCTAATGTGCCTGGGAAAGCAGCAAAGGACGAATCAAGTCCTTGGGGGTCCTGCACCCATGTGGGAGGTCTGAAGAAGTTCCTGACTCCTGCTTTCAGACTGGTCCCTGATTTGACTATTGTAGTCATTTAAGGAGTGAGCCAACAGTTGAAAGATCTCTCACTAACTTTCTCCGTCTCTCTCTGTAACTTGGCCTTTCAACTAAAAAACAAAACAAAACAAAACAAAAAACAATAAAAACTTCAAGGTTTGGTACCAGCTAATGCTGGATTAAACAAAAACCTCTTGGTATTTGTGATTTCAGCCAATTGAGATAATGTTAGGGTTCTCTAGCAACAAGCACAGTAGCTTTTGTTTATTATTCTCAACATCAAATCACTAGCAGTGAAATGGCTGGCAGGTTAAGCCACCACTTGCAAGGCTGGTATTCCATATGTGCGCCAGTTTAGATCCCACCTGCTCTACTTCCTATCCAGCTCCCTGCTAACGCACCTGTGAAAGCAGCAGAAGATGGCCCAAGTCCTTAGACCCCTGCACCCACATGGGACAGGACTCCTGGGTGGCGCTCTGGGCTCCTAGGTTGGGCCTGGCTTGTCTGTGGTCATTGTGGCCATTTGGGGAGTGAACTAGCAGATGAAAGATATCTCTAATATATATATATAATTGGATGATGGTGAATTCATATATACAAATAGTGCTGTGTTGAGAGCTGGCCCCGTGTCCAAATGCCTGGCCTCAGGCAGCAGCCTTTCCTACCTGGGTCAGTTGTTCAACTGCTCTGAATCTCAAGTTGTTCACCTATGAAATTCTAATAATATCGTTTGCCTGGCCTGTCAAGACATTTACTAATTTTTATTTGTTTATTGCTTGAAAGACACAGAGAGAGAGAGAGAGAGAAATCTGCTATTGTGGTGTCCCATATAGATATTGGTTCAGAGAAGGAGAGAGAGGAAAGATCTTCAGTCTACTGATTCATTCCACAAGTGACTGCAACAGCTGAAGCTGAGCTATTCTGAACCCAGGAGCAAGTAGCCTCCTCTGGCTCTCCCATGTGGGTACAGGGTCCCAAAGTATTGGACTGTCCTCCACTGCTTTTCCAGGCCACAGGCAGGGAGCTGAATGGGAAGTGGAGCCACTGGGATTAGAAATGGTACCCATATGGGATCCCGCCATATTCAAGGCAAGGACTCTGACCACCAGGCTACCGCACCGGACCCCTAGATGTCAATTTTTTTTTAAAGATTTATTTATTTTTATCACAAAGTCAGATATACAGAGGAGGAGAGACAGAGATGAAGGTCTTCTGTCCAATGATTCACTCCCCAAGTGAGCGCAACGGCCGGTGCTGCGCCGGTCTGAAGCTGGGAACTTCTGTCAGGTCTCCCATGTGGATGCAGGGTCCCAAGGCTTTGGGCCGTCCTCAACTGCTTTCCCAGGCCACAACAGGGAGCTGGATGGGAAGTGGAGCTGTCGGGATTAGAACTGGCGCCCATATGGGAATTGGTGCATTTAAGGTGATGACTTTAGCCACTAGGCCACGCCGCCGGGCCCCCCTGTAGTTAATTTAAAAAAAAAAAAAGATTTGTTTATTTGGGGGCCAGTGCCGTAGTGCAGTGGATTAAACCTTGGCCTGCAGTACTGGAATCTCATGTGGAAGCTGATTTGTGTTTCAGCTACAACATTTCCAATCCAGCTCTGCCATTCTGTCCTTCCTTTACTCTGTAACTCTTCCTTTCAAAAAAATTTTTTTTTATTAAGAGAGATTTGCTTATTTTATTTGAAAGGGAGAGATCATAATAGCTGGAGATGGGCTGGGCTGAAGCCAGAAGCAGGAGCTTCTTCCTGGTACCCCACTTTTGTCCACAGTGGTGCGAAGGGTGTGGATTTGGGGCTTCCGTTTCCCACATTGTTTGATAAGACAATTTCAAAACAAGCTTCTTCATCCTCTCCCCTCTGATGTGATTATAATACCTAGGCTTTTATTTACAGAAACCGCTGCTCTGACCACATTCTTTGCTTTTGCACAGCTGGCATAACCACTTCTGGGTGTCCTTTGTGCCAGCCACGCTTTCAAGA